GCCCCTCTCAGCCTCTCGCTTCACAAGCGGACGCCAAGATAGAGAGCAGTGAAAAGGCTCGCCCCGGACCCCTCAGCTCTGGGCTGAGCAGCAGAAGTGCTGGTACCCCAGCAAGTTCCGCCCCTAAAATGGATTGCCCCCACCCCGCCCCGCGCCCAGAAGCTGGTGTGAGGGAGGGGCGCAGAGAAATCGGGACAGTGGCTCCAGACTGCCCAGAACCAGCAGGGACAGAGGCAGTTAGGGTCCCCCACGTCGCAGCGACGTTTGCCGGCTGGAATTTCCCCGGCACTTCGGTAAACTGCCCTCTCATTTCTCTCCCCCTTTCTCCGCACACCTGATTCGATGTATTAATTGGGTGTTTTAATCTACAAAATTCATCGGAAGGTCTCACATCGCCATAGCAACTGTGCAGTCCCAGTGAAGGCGAGTCACCAGCACGACACAGTAGCCTCTTTAAGCCCGCTCTGCAGGGGGCCGAGAAAATCGGGTGCTGTCTGGAGGGGATGGGAGGGGCGCCTGGAAGAGAGGGGGGTCAGGGAGCAAGGCTCCCTCCGCGAGGCTGCTCCCTCCTCCTCGAACCCCATTCTTTCTGTCTACACAAACCGCGGCCTTCATGCCAAGAGCTGCACATTCTCCCTGCAGACACGTGCTGTGACTCCTGAGCTGTGCGTGCCCTGATGGTGACAAGCAAACATGGGACACGAGTGGAGCAAAGTGGCCGCCCACCCAGATGGCATCCGCGGCCACCCAGCCCAGGGACGGGCTTGGCCTTCTGATCTCGCCAAAGCCCAGATAAGTCCTGACCCTGTGTTCGGTTTGGGGATGTGGCCACTGCGCCCAGTGATGAGCGGGTGGGTGATGCGATGGTCGCGTGTCCTAAAGAGTAAGCGCCTATAGCCAAGGTCAGTCGCCCACCTCCCACAAGCCCGGCACAGCTGCTGCCTCTGCCAGCCTCCCCCAGGCAAACGCGGGGGTGGAGACGCGTTAAATAATTCTTAGATCAGATCGCGATCATCATAAACAGATCCTGGACTGTCTTTTTTGTGGTCCTCAAATGCTGAGACATAAGACACTGTGAGCAAGTAGAAAAATTCTACCTTAAAAATCAGAAGGCAGTTCCTGTGCGCTATTTCTACATCGGTCTGTTTCTGCATTCTCTGCCTCGGAGAGTGTAACGCTTAGGCACGGAACAGTGGCCAGCTCTTGGCTGCCACCAGCCAAGATGCTGAAACCAGAGGCACTTCTCAGACATTTTCTCATCCTGCAGTCAGGAGCTGGATGTAAATCTGCTTTCCCAGTAGTTCCTAATTCACTCTGGATTTCCTTTACTTTGAATGCTTATGTTAAAAACAAACACGTAACATATAAAACATCCAAAGCCGTGAGTTCTGCTGTCCCAAAGTTCGGAATGCAATGACTGACAAGCAGTCGCATGCAATGGCAGGCAGTCCCAGGTCACACTGGGCCAGGGTGGCTGGCCCTGACTGCCGGTGCTGGCACCCATGCCCCCGCCCCTGCTGGCTGTGGCTGGGCACCCTGGCAGAGAGCAGGATCCCCAGCGCTTTGACCGTTGCCGGCACATGGCCTGCTCACTCGCGCGAGCTGGCCTGAGGTCAGACTATTGCGATTTCCTATAATGCTTAAATTATTTACCAGAAATAAATAGCTTGGGCTCTCGCAGTGAGCCGTGCTCTAAAATTATAAAAGATCCATCATATCTCTCTGCAGCCTGCCTACAAATGAAAAAAAATGCATATTTTGACTATTTTAAGAAAATGTCAAATGTGTCATCACTGTACCATTTAAATGATCAGCATGGCATCTGTAGAAAGGGGCTGTAAGTTTGTGTGTGAATGTGTCACAGTGCCCCAAAGGTGGACACCGCACAGCCGCCTTCTGTTAGGGTGCTAAGTCACAGATCCCTGGGGCCGGCGCCCAGGGAGGATGTCCGGGGGATTGTGGCCTGTCCCCTGCTTTCCACCAGCACCACCTCTCTGTGGTCACTCAAGAGACAGCTGTCGTTTGGGTGGGGAGTGTCACCTGCAGGAGGACCTGAGGGCAAACCAGTTCCCCAGTGGCAGGTCTTTGCACCAAGCCCAGGCGGTCTCCGGTGCACACCTGCGCGCAAAGGTGGGGCGTGCGCGGTCACGCGGCCCCTTCACCCTGGAGACTGAGAGGGCGGGCGAGGGGCCCCTGTGCCACCTGTGGGGCAGGCGTGGCCTTCGCCCCCTCAGCCCCGCGCCTGTGCGGGGTAATAACCCAAGCCAATCACTGTCCCTAAAAGGAAAGTGAAAACACACAGCCCTCGGTGCCAACGGCGGCGTCGCGCTTAAGCCGGAGCCGTCCGACTGCGGACACGCTGCCACTGGACACGGAGGATGCAGGCGAGCCCTGGGCACGCGTGGGCACCGCAGGAACGGTCCACGAGTTTCCTCAGACACCGAGCCACCTGGGGACGCCCTCCCACCCCGGCGGCCTTGGTGTCCTGACGCGAGGAATCCGCGCGCGTGAGCGCGTGGGGTCCCCACGCTGTCTCCGGAGCGGCCCCGCGGCCCCGCCGAGCGGCCGAACTCACCGTCCTCCCTGTCGTCAAACACTGGCCTCCGCGCGGTGGCTGCCGACATGGACGAGCCCATCCTCTTCTTCCACTTGCTCCACGCAAACAGGGGGCGCGGCTGCGCGCGGCCATCGCCCGAGTCCCGCACTCG